TCCAATTCACTCCCTTTCTATCAGTCCGTATTTTCCAACTGCTTGGCTGAAGATGTCTATGGCTGCAATTGAACTAACTACTGTATTGTCAATTCATTACAAATTGCTAAATTAGGTTGAGTCAACATGATCTTCTAAAGATGAATTACATAATTTGGATTATAAGAGGAAACAACTCTTTTTTGTGAAATTTGTCCCTCGTTCAGGTTTCCGAGTACAACTTACATTAAGAACTGCAAAGGATAATTGAATATTATTGGATAAGTAGTTTATGTCAATGTAGCGCATATTTTTGATGTTTTAGGCCTATGTTGCAGAAGTACAATGGAGATGATTACAATGGAGCGAGGATTGTTAGTAGAGCTCATGAACTTCGAGATTCAGTATGTTCACAGCGACTTGTCTCCAATTATCACTAGTGTACTTTCTATATAGTTTGTTGGTCTTTGACATTTGGTGATGTCTTTCTGCAGGTATATGGAATGCTTTCCCAAATGGATCCTGCCTTAGTTGCCTTCTGTGAGAAGATTGCTGCTGAAGGGGGTCCAGTGTCAGTTCCTGACGAATTAGGTGGAGATGCATTGCCACAAAATCCCGTCTTACAGTCATCTACTTTGACTAGAGCAAGAGCCCGCCTTCGTAATGTCCAGCCTGAAGTCAACTTAGATCAGAGCTTTGAAGCATTGAGAAGGCACAAGAAACATGCTGATTCTGCACAATTGGGTAAATAATTTTTGCATTTGCTATATAACTCGCTAAATGTTATTCGGACAAAGAAAATCCTCTTGTGGCTGACAACGATGTGTTCTATCTGTGGTTTAGTGCTAGATGATGAATTACAACCTCAGGATTCATTGCCTTCCAAGTCATCTAATGACCATGAAGGAGATGCTTCAGACCAAAGGCCAGAAAGCACTCTTGCTGACGGTAATAAATCCGCAGACGTTCCAGATGCAAGTGGAGACGCATGCCAAGATGTTACAATGTCAGACACAGAAATGTCCCGTAAAATCGAGTCCGTGAAGAAGCAATTCGTGAAGCACACAAAGGAGTACGGCATTCCTCAGCTAGAAAGATTATACACTCGCATCATGAAGGGTGTTTTCGAAACGAAAACTGGTGTGACAAACGAAGATCTCAAGACTTCAATTTTGAGTTTCTTGTTAAAATTTGCAAAGGATGCGTCGAAGTTTTAGTATAAACATGAATAGTTATTTTATTTTATTTTTTAGTTTCAACAATTGATTGATCCCCTCATACGATGTCAACGAATTTGCTGTGCTACACAGGCAAAAGAAAAGAAAATTATAGTCTTATTTCTTGCCCCCTCTTCTGCTCTTATACATGAACAATTGATCTAAAGGGGTATTGAACAATACTGGAGCTACCAATTCACATTTGATAAAGTGATTTGGAATTGCAAAGACATCAATACAAAATTGAATCGAAGGTCAAGTTCTGAGTGGGACTCGACACAAAGGAGGGCGGGTTACAGAGAAGGACTCGAATCTAGTTACAAAGTTCGCGAGCAATTCCCAAACGCGAATTAGCTGTGTCAAACAGAATCCTCAGGTTCTGCTGCTGCAAATTGGCTATAACATTCAACACAGAGTTCACATTTGTTGGTGCTGCTGCCATTGCTAGACATGCCAAAGGACTTGCACTACTATGAATCAAACTGTTCTCCATTGGCAACACCAAATCCATCCCTGTAAAGTGAAGTATAATAGCTGGTGCCACTGCTTCATTTGTTGATGCAAAACATGTGTCAAATGCACCCAATGAGGTAAATGGTCCTTTCACTTGATTCCTAAATTCATCCCTAATTGCATTATAAATTGGCTGAACGAATCGGGTTATAACCGTACCCGAGTCGATTATAGTACCCGCACCGGTATTCGGGTCAAATGCTAGAAGCTCAGGAGCTATCGGGACCAGGACGCGACCCACACTTATGCCGGTTAGGTTCACGTAGTACAGAGAGGGTCTGTGCGGGTTCTTAAGAAGTGGGGTGGTTCTAATGTTCTTCGGTTGACCCAATGGACCGAGTTTGAGTGATCCAGAGAAATAATAAGATTTGAAACTCGGTAAACAGTATGAGAATACACCAGAGTAGAGTGACATGGATTGTGAGAGTAGTGACATGGAGCCCCTACCCAAGCCCAATAACCCTTGGGGGGGGATTGAGCTCCCGGACACAGCACTGATGCAACCGAATGAATAATTCGGTATAACATCAGCACCTAGTCTAAGTGAATCACGTGACAGCGTGGCGTAGAACGACGAAGCTCCACCATAGGATTGGTTGAAAAAACAAGCACCCGGTGCACCAGCAGCGGGGCAAGATTGCCCCTTAACCTGTGTGCATTCGGGTACAGAGCAACCCATCGACCCATAAGTCGACGAGATATTGGGAGTAAATACACTAGAGGTACAGCCAGTACAGCCACTGCATGGAACCCATGCAGTGTCACTACTGGTATCCAGGACCATAAACATTAGCTGGCCGGGGGTACCGATTTTAGCCCGAACAACATAGTTACCAATGTTGAATACTTGTTGGCCTGAAGCAATAGGGGCTGAATTAGGCTTTTGGGCTACTAAACTAGACAAATAAGAAAGTCTTTGTGGATCTTTAGAGGCCATGTTGATAAGTGTGTTTTCCCAAGATGTAGGTTTTGGTGTGTTGAAAGGTGAGCATTTGCCATAAATGGGAATGACTGAAAGTTGTTCATTAGATGGACATGAATCAAAAGCTAAAGTTTTTGTTGTTGAAAGAAGAGTGATGAAGAGGAATGTAGCAATGGCCAAAGCCATGGTGTGCTTTTTCCTTATCAACAACCCTGAAAAGATAAAGAGTTTTGGTGAGATTTATGTCAAATATGATAGAAACAAGAATATATATATAGGACACCCCCAAACCCTTCAAATCTCACCCCCCATGAAGGTGTGAGTTGGGGTGGTAGGCAACACAAAGTAGGAATTGAAGAGGATAGAGTGTATGCAGATCTTATCCTATCTTAAAAATAGAGAGGTTGTTTTTCATAGATTCTCGAGTCAAGGAAAAATAGTCCGAAGCAGTCCAGAAAACAAACACCGGAATTAATATGACAAGTGAGGTACATACAAGGAACAATAAATAGTAACATAAATTAGATGACACGAAACTGCAAGCGCAATATTATGACACCTACTAATCTTTCAATTCTAATTTGTGTCTTCCATAACCTTCTATCTAAAATCATGTCCTGAAACAACTGCAATTATGTCATGTCTTGTCTAATCGCGTAGAGGCACATGCGAATTTAGAATGAGTATCAATTTTTATGTACATATTTTATTTTTGTATTTATATATATGTATATGTATACTCAAAAGCAATGAATTTAGTTGAACACACAAAACTACGCCTAGATCCATTTATTTATGGAAAGGGTGGAGGTAAAAAAAACTAGATATGGATTCAATTCGATTGAATTTAATAGTTTCTGCTCAAACAATATATTCATGTCAACAAGAAATTCATTAAATATATAAAAATATTAAATTAAAACTCAATTATTATCAATATTAATAATCACGATTCTAAAAATTCAGTACTCATAAAGGCTGAAATCATGACTTCTCCTTCACATGTAGAAAAGAGTGTGATATTATTAGTGAATGTCCAACATTTCACGTGAGCTTTTGATACATATAATAATAACAATAATAATAATAATAATTATTATTATTATTATTATATTTTTTATTTTATTATATAGAAGCCAAAATGGAGCAAGGAAAAGTCATACAGCGAAGCTCCAATGCTTCTGATTTATGTCGTTATTAGCCACTCTCACTTATTTTAACTCCAATTTGTCATTTGATAAAATAATATCTATCCTCGATATACATTTTATCTATTGTTTACTGTCTCTCTGTCTTCACAAAGATCGAGATAAGATCTGTGTACACACTATCCTCTTCGAATCAACTTGTGAAATTACATTACACATTTTATCCGATTTACCATACCGCTTGACAAATGCATGTAAGCAATTAAATCAGGTCAATAAATTTTGGATACTTGGAAAAAAGAAAATCTAGAGGGGGATTTGATATTTTGGGTGTGTGAAGTGTTGAACAGAAGAGGCTCGTGAACCTTAGTTGGACGACAAGTAGTGTTTTTTTTTGTCCATAAGCAAAAAAAGATGCTGTGGTCACGAGGTTTCTTAATTATTAGCTAATCCATGTCATTAGTATTATTAGAAAACTAATCACATATGCAATAATGCATCATTAGTAATATTAGAAAAACTATTAATATTTTATTACTATTAAAGATATAGGAAAATTAAATTGGTCTTTAAGATCCCAAAGAATAATTAACTATTAGGTGTTTCTTGAATCTCCACGGATATTTTTCAATTATCTCTAAGATAATAAAGACTTTGAAATTCGATACATCGAGAAACTCAGCCAAAGAATCTCATTATTTGATTGTAGATACTGTATTTTATAATGTTTGTTTCTTCATCTTTCAATAAATCACTTGTTAGTAATTACAATGGATGATTCATATATGTAAAAGTTTTATCCAAATATCTCTAAGAAATACTCTATGCAATATCTGAAATCTCCATAGAATTGAGCATATTACCCTATAAAACATCTAATCTTAGAAAGGAGAAAAGCATTACTATAAAAAAGGCATCTTCTTTTGACATTAATTGAGACTTTGCTTTTTGCACAAAATGAAAAGGAAAGGCCAAAAACACAAGACAGATCAGCCTTCTGTAATGTCAAACTTTTTTTTCAATGATTAGGAGCTTAAGCAGGGTCCACTGTGTTCACGAGAGTTAAAATATGAAGAAGTAAACACGTAACGTTAAATTCAGGTATAAATAGTGTAATTTCCAGTCGCCCTATCTGACTTCGCCCCTGGTCCCAACTCCCAATAGTATGTGGGATTGCCAGTTGAAGGCCAGAAGGACCACCAGACTCAGATTTAACAAAAAAAACAGTAAATCAGTTTCTCTTGGCTTCATCTGGTCATTTTCAATAAAAATGCACACTTACAAGAATCCAATGAACAAAGAATAAAAAACATTGATTCAGTATAATGTAATTACAATAAAATGCAAGCTCTTACATTGACACCCTTCACACCTTCACAGATAGTTCTTGCACTCTCACATGATGTGAATCTTGTATAGTGTAAACAGCACATGTGGGAATACACAAACCAAGATCTAATCCACCTCTATAAATTAATGCAAAACACACATGATCTACAGCATAGAGACAGCCAGTCAAGCTTATTCCACAGTATACGACGACTATTATCTTGTTTGAACAAACACATTCCATGCATCTCATGAGCAACCCATAACTACAGCTCAAGGCTGATCATCCAAAGAAGACGGAATATGTCACCAAACCCTATGCAAAGACCAATACACCATCAGCATTGTCCTTTTTTGCAAGTTAGAAGTAATGGACACCAAAAGGAAGAAAAAAGATAATGTCGAGTATTGAAATTGACATTCTTTAACATCCACATCAACCACCTACCAAAATTCTAAAGGCATAACTGGCCTCAGTACGAGAGATGCACTAAGTTGGTGACTAGCATAATAATAGTCTAATTATATCAAATCCTCGCAGTATAAGCTTGTTTAGATGTGCTTTCCTACACATGTGATACATGATACGTCAACAACCAGGTGTACAGTTAACAGATAAGAGGTTCAACACATTGCTGTGGGTGTGACACAAAAATAAAGCGAGGAGCTTCTACGTTGTTGGAGAAACAAGGGAAAATAAAATTTGACTACAATATTATACTCCCTCCGTTCACTTTTCCTTGTCACTATTTGACTTGGCACACCCATTAAGAAAATGATAATAGGTATTTTACCACACTATCCTTATTAAATGATGTTTAGTTTAGGTCTTGAAAAAATATTTGGAAAATAGTATTTAAGGGTAAAACATGGAATATGTTAAAAGTGACAAGTAAAAATGAAAATCTATTTTAGGAACAAGTGACAAGTAAAAGTGATTGGAGGGAGTGCTTATGAGCAGATACACAAATTGGCTTTGATGTTAGACATTGTCCTAAGAAATTATTTCAGTAATGTAAAATGCTTCCCCAAGATTAAGCCCACCTCCACGAGAGAGGGAACAGGAATAATAAAATCAGAAAGTTATGAAAGATGGTATGATGGAGTGATGGTTAGACAGGTTCTCGAATTAAAATGATGAAGATATAATGGGCTCTTTATAAGGGTAGGAAATACATTCTTTGAGGAAACGAAATAAGAATCAATCGCTTGAGTAGTGTCGTTGTAATAAAAAGACGATCACCAAAAAATACTAATTTGAAACATATTCTCCAAAAGATTGTGGATAATTGCACATCAAAAAAGAGTGCTTCTACTAGCACATATAAAAAGGTAAGTGGTGTCACTCAGCAGACAAAGGTGTGGTGACACAAATCTCTAGGACATTATTACCCCTGAATTGGCAACAGAAAAGTAGGCAAAAAAAAATCTTTTCTAGGAATTCAATGCTCAGAGGAGAATCTCAGTACTCTTAACTACCGTGAGGAAAAAGAGAGTAAAAAACTCCCCCCCCCCCCCCCCCCAAACAGTTATCGAAAGCTAAAATTTGGAGACTCCAAAATTATGAAGAAACAGTAGAAACGTAATTTTCTGGAATGTTTTGCTTGAAAAATTCTGAAAGAATTACCGGAATAGTAGTCAGAAGAACAATGCCTCCAAAATGATGAATGAAAGAAACACGTAGTCATCCCAGCGGTGACCAAATACAAGCATTGTGGTGAGAATGGTCCCCAGAGACAGAGAATAGGAAACTTACAACAGAATAAAAGACTTCAGTCTGACAGGTTGCATAACGCATAAGACCACCATAGATAGACGAAAGTTATTTAAGCCACTAAGAAGATTGTAGAGGTTCAAGTTCTATTTGAAAAGAGACAGAAAGAAAAAGTTACTTATTGAAATTGGTCTATTTACAACTTAAAGAAGACTCCTTATATAAGAATTTTGAACTTCAGGAAAAAAGGGAGTGTATATTTCACAGTGTTATAGGGAGAGAAGAGGGCAAATGCTAAACAAGAAGCAACAACACACATACCTGGAATGTTCGCATCAAGGAGTAGCCTTAACTATAATTACTGGACACTGTGCATGGTTTGTGCAATAGTTGCTTACACTCCCCAGAAACATCCTGTTTAAATTTTAAATTGATGAAATACATGTCTCTGTTAAAAAAGTGATCATGTATGATCCAATAACTATAGAATCTGGTGAAAATTACGTCCAGAGTTCAGATTGGAAATAAACAACACAATTCAAACCAAAATAAAGATCCATATCCATCAATTACAATTTTATGTTAATGGTAAAAGTACAATTTCAGAAACAAGTATAAATGAAGTTGAAGACAGATGCAAAGAGACCTTTTCTGTAGCAGGCTGAATAGAAACCCACTTGCCTCCACAACTGCAGCTCTTAATTTATTACTCATTTACTTGTTGCCAACTCTACTTAGTCTATGAATAGAACTCTAAATTAAGGCACATTTTTATCAGCAGTACTTCATTTAAGATGTCTCTAACTTTCTGATGAAGTTTAAGATAGCTAATTAAGTAATTTATCAACAAACAAAAAAGTACATAACAGAGCAACTCCTCCATTGGTTTTCTAAAAAACAACACTTTAAGTGATTGCCTCCAGATAATATCATCATTCCACGATGAAATAACACATAGTAACTGTTATATGCCTGGATATGAGGGAGGTGCAAATTCTAGGCCACTATAAAGACCTTTTAGGACCATAGCAAATTCGAGTAGTCGATGTAAAGAAACTACACCAGTAAGAGTTAAGCAGGGTAAGAATATGCTTCCTTCAAAGTGTCCATCATTAAAGTAAATTTAATGCTTAACTAATGAAATTGTGTAGGAATTACCCATACAACAAGGGTCAAGGGGTTCAGCTCCATCTACTGTCTGTTTTAGTTATACAAGCTTATAGTATTAAATTGCGATTTTTGGTATCCACTGTCTATTGCAGCATTATGTGCAGTTAGTAATTGGTAATCAATCAATATATCAATTAGCTAAACCTCAGTCTAAAACTAGTTAGATCAACTATATGAATCCCCTGCAACAGTTTTATATTATTCGGGAAAATTTCATGCCAATACTAAACAATTTGACTTCAGAAAAAACTAGGGTTTTTAAAAAAATTAAAGGTTCTCTAAATCTCACATGCATCCAATTAGACCCCCGAAGAAACAACAAACTTGATGCAAGTATAACAACGACAACTAGCATTACTCTAGAGACCAACAAGTTAGTTTTATAGATACATCATCTCACAAAAAGCTCTCTTTTTCAACGACAACATGAAATCATCTACAAGCATTAGCAGGTCAGCAGCACAAAAGCAGGTTCCTACTCATGCTAAATGGCATTGTTGATTCCTGTGAGTGATTCACAAGAATGGCATAAGCAACTAGTAGCATCTCTGAAGGGAAATTTCAGAATAATGTCCTAAGCATTGCACATAAAGTATGATGTTAGCTAAAATGTTTCTCCTCTTTCACAAGTACTAGGACAGGAAAAAGTTCTTGCTGTTGGATGAGAAAAGCAACTAAAGCTAGTGCTTGTTAAGCAACATATATGCCTTAAAATTTGGGAACAATCAGCTAGTTGAATCATGTGAGCATTCTCATAGAAGCATTAGGCCATCAGTTAACCACAATATTCACAGGTCGCTTTGCTGACTAAAGTGGATGACATCCTAAACTACGTCCACTTACTGGGATGCCTAAAATATTTTGGCTACAGAACTGTTCAGAATAATGTTAAAAACAACTGATTTACGACCTCAATAAAACTCATGCTCATTACATGATGAATCAGTGTTGTCAAAGGCACGCTTAAGCCCTGAAGCGAGGCTCAATACATGTTGAGCACTTCATATAGCTTAATGTGCGGTTCAATGTCATCAATAAGGTTCTAAGGCATGTTTCCTTGCCAATGAGCCTCCTCTGAGAGTCGACACTAAGCAATTGATTTCACTTTATCATAAAAAAAAATCAATTTTTGTTCATATATTTGTCCTGCATACTTATAATTACTAATCTTGATTAAACATGTATAGTTTTGTATTCTTTCTCCCTTTGCGCATCTTTCATTAGAGCCCCGCACTTTATTTGCGATTAATCCCCCAATGGACACTAGAGCTTTTTGCCTTTTTTTGCTTTTGATAACACTGTGTTGAATGCAAAACCATCTATACATGCCTTAGGTAAAGAGCTTCATCTAGTCAGAGTAAATCAACAATAGCAACATCCATCAGGTTGAAAATTTCTACCTTTTAATGGGGCCAAAAGCACGGGAACCCATCACCAGCAAATCAGCATTCATTTCTTCAACAGCATCACAAATTTTCTCCTTCGGATCCCCAATAACTACTTGGGTCTTAACGTTAGCCTGATTCAGATAGAACCTGTTTCCCATCAATTAAAATAGAAAGATAGAACACCAATAATGATTTCTGTGACGCCATATTAGGCTTCTGTTTTGCTTTCTAGTATCTTTAGCATTTCTCAGTGACTGAACTACCAGAATATCATATCAAACGTTACAAACTGAAAGCATAATACGCAAAACATCAATGCCGTTGCAGCAATATGGATGCCACGGTGGACTCAAATTGCTAAAGCAGGAAATGTAAAGAAAACATAAAGTAGATCAGAGGCGTTTGTGATTTAAATAAAAATAAATAAAAGATCAGAAGCACCAATCAACACCAAGATCACTAGTACCTTTTCTTAGAATTTATATTGCACTCTTTTTATTTTGAGAAGGCACCACAATTATGATATCAATACATTTCTATACAAGTTCCTTAATTTCTAATATAGGTCAAGTTCGTTAAAATATTCAAATCTAAACTTTGATGAGATGCTTTCTCTATAAAACTACCTGTTCAACCATTACTTTGATATTTCCTTCCACTATCCGTACAACAAATGAACTCTCCATGTCCAGGGACGGATCATTATTTAAGCTTTATGGGTTCAAACTTATTAGGCTCTTAGCATTGAAGCCGCTCTATTTTTTAAGTTAATCTGTTCATATCTACTAGTTATTGCATTTTCAGTAATTTATGCTCCGCGCGTTCGAAAGAACCCAGAAATAATGAATTACATCCAGCCGCCAATAATGCCATATATAAAACGAGACAAAGTGAACATGTAAGCTGTATAATTTCAAGATAACTTTCATATATAGCAAACGGGAAGTGAGAAGGATTATCAAGCTCACATTTTTTTTAGCACAAATCCCAAGAGCATGGTCTAAAATGGCCTGTGTGATCCGCTTTTGATGTGCCTCAATTGCAGCAGTAAACGCAGGCACCTCAACATCACCTGCTAATGTCCACAATTTAGTACTAATTAACAAAAAAAAATGTTAACTCCAATCAATCAAATCCATTCCATAATTCAAAAAATACCCATCAAGCAAAATGAACGAAAACACAAAAACAACAAGAAATTAGACTTAACTGGGGCCACCAAAGGGTATAGCTCCAGGGTTAAGACCAGCAGCGATAGACGGCGGAGATTGAACATGGAGAATCACAATGAACCCTTGTGATTCTGGAGAATCAGGATCATGGGGTTTGAGCTTAATGTTATCAAGAGTCCAATTCAACGCGTTCATGCTCTCTTCACTGCCGTCGACGGAAACGATCACACAGTTCAACTTTCCGGCCATGGTTTTTGATTCTGTAAATTCGAGCAAATTAAGAACTGGGTATTACTTAGAATAAAAAAAAAAAGTGTAAATTATAGTAATTATGAAGAAATGAAACCGACTATATTGATTTGATCCTGAAATTCTTCGATTTTATTGTTAGTTTTTAGCTGCAAGTTTCAACAAGCCATCGTTTTCATCTCTTTCGTGTCAGCATGGCAGGATGTGTACAAAAAAATATCCTCTAATATTAATATTATAAAATTATTTCCAAAAACAAAAAAATCCTTAAATATATTTATGTATTTAAGTAATTAAAAGTATTTGTATTAGTAATGTCACGTATATAGATGTATTTTAATTATATATAGATTAAAAAGATATCTCAAATAAAAGATCAATAATATGTAAAGTTAATGTATATATTATTTTTTCTAATGCACTTTACTATCAAAATAACTCATTAATCGTAAATTTGTGATTGACATTCATCTCGTTTCCTTTTTTAGAGAGAACTGTGATGAACACCGAAATCAAGTTTGTATTTTTTTTGAGTTGATGTAAAGACTTCCCCGTTGGTTAGGTGAAGATGGGACAAATGACTTTATCTCTTCATCCTTCTATTTAAGTAGGAGAAAAAATATTTTTATTTACGTTGGAGGAAAAACATTTTTACGCTTTAACGATCTGAAGTCAATGTATACGTTAAAGAAAATTAAGAAAGGAAAAACTCTTGGAAAGAAAAAATCTACCACAAATTCTAAGGGGAGCATGATATTTCTAGATTTAACTAACAAAAAGTTGGACAACTTTCATATATAGACAACAAAAAATTTATATTTGTATGCTATAGCAAAATTTCCATAATTTCGCTCTATAGCAAATATATAACTGTATAATTCGTTATACATATACAATTGTATAATTCGCTGGCCTTGCTATACATATACAATTGTATGATTCGTTGGCCTCGCTATACGTATACAATTGTATGATTCGCTGGCCTATTTCGCTGCAATTGTATAATTCGCTGGCCTATTTCACTGCAATTTTATAATGCGTAATTGTATAATTCGTTGGCCTATTTCGCTGCAATATGTGTATAAAATTTGGTTTGCATACAATTGAATCGGAGTAAAATGTTTGTATATTGTATAATTATAGGTGTATAGAAAGAAGATATATGTTTTTCTCTCGCTTTATACCAAAAAAAAAACACAATTTATACACTTATGTTGTATAAAGTGAGAGAAAATTGTATTTCACTGCAATTGTATAATTTGTTAGCCTTTTTCGCTGCAATATTTATATAAAATTTGCATTTGTATACAATTGAATCGAAGTAAAATGTTTGCAAATGGTATAATTAAATGTATAGCACGAAGATATATGTTATTGCATGTGTATATACAATTTTCTCTCGCTTTATATAAAATATAAACACAATTTATACACTTCTGTTGTATAAAGCGAGAGAGGCGAGCAGAGAGAGGGTGGCGAGCGAGAAAGAGAGAGTGGCGAACGAGAGTTTTGGGAGAGAGCCGACTGGCAAACGTTTGCTATGGGGCACAATTAAATCAAACAGTAGCTACTCCATTTATTTTAGATTATTAGTTTGCTATTATATACAATTATCCCTAAAACGTTTTTGTAATAAATATGTTACAATGGGCCGTGACATACACGAAAAGGGAAAATTTTGCAAATAGCCGCTAAATAATTTTTGAGGAACTCTCATATATAGTCATAAAAAATAGCCTAATTAATCTTCATAGTTATAGTTTGATATTTACAGTTCGTATCTACATGTTATAGGAAGGAAAGAGACGAGCGAGATTGGGAGAGAAAGGAGAAAGTCGAGAGAGAGAGGGAAAAGAGTGGGAGAAAGGTGAACTGTATATGTATATCAGTTAGATAATTGTACATTATACATATGTATTTATATATATGACAAGTAAAATTGGGAGAGGGAGGAGAGAAGTCAGTGAGTGGGAAAGAGGTGAATTGTATATGTATATCGGTTAGATAATTGTATATTGTACATATACATTTGTACATATGAAACCCGAGAATGGGAGAGGGAAGAGAGAGGCAAGCGAGAGAGGGAAGATAGTAGGAGGAAGGTGAATTGTATATGTATATCGGTTAGATTTGTATATTATAAATATGTATTATACACATAAAAACGTGGCTAATTATACAAATTTGAAGTATGTCCACGTTATTAATGTATAATGTTAGTTGCGAGTGATAATTATAGCAAACTATAACTATGATGAGTAATTAAATAGTATAAGTTTGCTTAACCACGTAATTTTTCCATAATTTAATTAGGCTCCATAGTTATAGTTTGTTGATTACGATTCATAGCTACATGTTAGAGGGAGGGGAGAGGCGAGCGAGAGAGGGCAGCGAGTGGAGAAAGAATAATTATATTTGTATATTTATCATATAATTGTATATGTATATGTATAATTTGTATTTGTATATATATAAGAGAGGTAAGAGGAGAGAGGCTACACGTAAAAGAGGTTCTAAGTGATAATAAAATTTAAACTACAACTATATTAACTAATTAAACTAATATATATTTATTTATCCACGTAATTTCCCTGAAAAAATATAGAGTTCCATATTCATTTGGACTTGTTGTAAACCTCAATATGGGCTTCTTCTTTCAGTGTCGAGAGGGCTCTTTTAGCCCAAAATGTTTTAGTACCAGCCCACTCTTTGTCTCTTAACAATTCGTTTTCTTTTGATATCCACCATTCAAGATACACAAGACAGTTTAATTTGATTAATTCGAATTCGTATGAGATAAGTTTTTCGAAATAAGTAAATTTTTGAATATAAAGGTATGTACAAACACCTTTTACAAGCAAAGAGAAAATGAAGGAAGTAACATATTCTCTAGGATCAAGAATCCAACCCCAATAAAATAAAAGTTTTGTCTCTTAAGCACATCTTCACCACAAAGCAACATACACATGCACTTTAATCCAAACCTAGTACTAAGTCCAACCGCAATATTGTCGTCTGACTAAATTTGAATTCGTACATTCCAAGAGTTATTTTCAGATGCGACGCTTTCAGTAAAATTTTTACTTAAACTAGAAATTTTAATTAATGATAGAAAAATGTTGATGAACCAATCCTCTCGCAATCCATATTGATGTTTGAATTCTTTTGATTAATAAATTTGTTTGTTTCAACTTTCAATCCAAGCCCATTGGTTTCAAAACCAAGGTAGTTTTTCCATGTACTACCATCAAAATATTTACAAACAGTTTGAATATCACAAAGTTCAATTTGTGTTTATTCCAACTTCACATTTTTTTAATCCACAAGATAAAATTTTGAATTATTATACTTTAGAAACATAAATTATGTAATCAATTGTCACATCAGTCGGCACAAATGTGACGTTTATGATAAAGTTTTAGTTATGGTCAGCACTATTATCAAGCTACAAACTTTTAAAAAAATCATAAAAACGAAATAATTTCACGCTTAAAACGATTGATTTGTTAGTACTTCTTTATTCTCAAATCAAACACTACTGAATCAAGTCTTGGATATAGAAAACCTTTAAAATGTACTTTAAATTATATTTTAAATTTTATAACACTTTAATAGGAATATCGATTACTAAATAAAAGACAGAAATAACAACACGTCAAATTTGGAATTTCTAATAGAAAGAATAATAGACAAACTTTATTGAAAGTCTTTGTGTACATATTCAATGCAAAGACCTATAGAAGCAAAGCATGTTTAATTTTGCCTTTCTTCTATGAGTAATCTTCTTCTATGTATATTATAAGTTAATTTCTTTTTCTCATATCAATGTGTTAGGTATCTTCCTTCTTCAAGCCAACTTTTTGTGTCTTATGTTTGTGAGCACAATATATACACAATAAACTATGTACTATTTATAATAATTAATAACAAGAAAGACAATGAACAATTTGGGTTGCATGCAACTTGCAACCACAACAAGCATGGATTGTGACACATCAAGATCTTTTTTAAAAAAAAAAAAATATATATATAATGTCTGAATCAGCTTGCGTACATCGTTTCAATTAATTTTACGAAGTACTCGTTACCTTCCAATGATACAATGTATAAGTAACTCACTATCCATTAAGACTTGAATAGCTAGATGGAGAAAAATCGCCTAATATTTTTGTTTCTGCTAAAAATTGAACCTAAAATGAATTAAGCCTCGTAATTTTCGAACATGCATTTCATTAATCACTACAGCACGACTTATTTTTATTACTTATTTGAGGAGAAAAACATGTGTTACACTTGTTAATTGAGGTCTAAGATATATTTGGTAGGTGTATCAAAAGTATTAAGATTTGAAATTAATGAATATTTTTATTTTAAGGACAATTATGTACTTGAAAGTTGAAACGTATTGTTGATTACTTAACTTATAGATTCGCTTGCCCACTCCATAATTAATTTTAAATATTTGGATTAAAGGAGACTCATAGTAACATGCTTGTGAGAATCAAAATAATGTAATTTGAATTAATTACCCACTAATTAATTCTCACTCTCTAACCTACTCAATTATGAGATCTAAGAAGCATTTGATATAGGGGCAAAATATTTTCTTGAAAAATTCGTGATTTTTTAAGTTTGTTTTTAGTAATTTATAAGTAAACAAGTAGTATTATTTCGAAATATTTGTATATAATTTAGAAATGCTATGAGGGTGGTAATGTGCTCGGGAGTTAGGGAGGTCGGATGAGCCCCTTCATAAGAAATTATAGTATTATTTATATACAATTAGAACTATTTTTTTATGAATATATAGTAAAGTTTGAACCCTTTCAGCTAGTTTCTGTGTTCTATTTTTTAATATTTCGAACTTTTTTTTACTAAAAATTCTAATTTCACCCATCGGATTGAAGGCGTCGGGGTGGGAATTAAAGAAACGATGACATAGAAATGTCACTTCATATATAGGAAGGAAAATTATTTTCTTCAATTTTATGAAATTTCAGTTTTGTTGCAAATGAAAGAAAAATCTTATAGCAATATACCACTTAATAATTAACCACATAGCAAAAATGATAAAAATAAATATTTCTATTTTACAATTTTTAAATATACATGCTTGTGCTGTACATAGATACTTTTCCTAAATTGATTTGAGTAATAGTACAAATTAAAATTTTAACATATTATCGAAAATTATTCTTGATACTGACCCCCACTACCTCTTTTTTTTTCTTTTATAAAAAAGTAATTTAATT